TATATATATATATATATATATATATATATATATATATATGTATAAATATTATAAATATATATATATATAAATATATATATCATATATATATATATATTTGTATAAATATTATAAATATGTATATATTATATATATGTTATAAATATTATATATATGTATAAATATTATATATATGTATAAATCACATATATATGTATAAATAACATATATATGTATAAATCTCATATATATGTATAAATATCATTTATACGTATAAATATTATATAAATGTATAAATATTATACATATGTATAAACATTATATATATATATATATATATAATATTATATATATATAAATATATAATATAATATATATATATATATATATATATATATTATATATATATATATATGTATAAATTTTATATATATATAATATATATATATAAATATATATAGATATATACATATATACATATATATATATATACATATATATATATAATATACATACATATATATACTATACATAGATATATATATAATATACATACATATATATACTATACATAGATATATATATAATATACATACATATATATATATAATACATACATATATACATAATATACATACATAAATAATATACATACATATATAAATAATATACATACATATATATATATATAATATACATACACATATACATAATATACATACATATATACATATAATATACATACATATATGCATATAGTATACATACATATATACATAATATACATACATATATACAAAATATACATACATATATACATAATATACATACATATATACATAATTTACATACATATATACATAATATACATACATATATGCATAATATGCATACATATATGCATAATATACATACATATATACATAATATACATACATATATACATAATATACATACATATATACATAATATACATACATATATACATAATATACATACATATATACATAATATACATACATACATATACAATATACATACATATATATAATATACATACATATATATAACATACATACATATATATAATATACATACATATATATATAATATACATATATATAATATATACATATATACATAATATACATACATATATACATAATATACATACATATATACATAATATACATACATATATACATATATATACATACATATAATACATATATACATATACATACATATACATATATACATAATATACATACTATACATACATACATAATATACATACATATATATATAATATATACATATATATAATATTTGCATACATATATACATAATATACATACAAATATACATAATATACATACAAATATACATAATATACATATAAATATACATAATATACATACATATATACATAATATACATACATATATACATAATATACATACATATATACATATTATACATTACATATATACATAATATACATATACACATAATATACATACATATACACATAATATACATACATATACATATATATATAATATACATATATATATATATTTATATTATATATGTATGTATGTATATTATGTATAAATGTATGTATATTATATATGTAAGTATATTATGTATATATGTATGTATATTATATATCTATGTATGTATATTATGTATATATGTATATTATATATATCTATATATCTATATCTGTATCTATATATATATATCTATATATATATCTATATATCTATATATATATATATATATATATATATATATATATATATATATATATATATATATAAATGGTAGAGATGAACACAATAGATTTATGTTGTGCAGCAATAAATAAAAAATCCTTAGCCAAATCCAACAAAAGCCAAATAGAAATAGCTTCCTCAAAATTTGTATGAGTTGGCTAAGTGAAATAGTATATGGCTTTAATCTTATACTATTTATACATACAACCAAGTGTCAATACATTATCAATAATAAATTGTGGAGTCATATAAGCCAAGCTTATATGACTGCAGGACCTGATTTAAGTCCAGGATCATTGCCATTTTGACCAGGCCTAAACACTATTTTTGGTACTTGGTGAACCAGACCCAGGAGTGTTCTATGCAAGGATCCTGCTCATGTTTTCATGGGCAGTGAAGTATAATCATGCCATTCTAACACCCATGACAATGCTTTGAAGCCAACTACACATGCCAAGTCCAGAGGAGAATCACTATAAAGACCCAAAACAGGAGAAACCAAAGCTGGTCTATCCTGATGTCACAATGGCAAAGCACACCTCTACTAGCATGTTCATTCAACTCCTCTCCACCCAAAGGTGAGTTACATCTATTTCATGTCTCAGTGCTTTCCCCTAATAACTTAGCTTCTATGAGACCAAAAATGCAACTTTATATTCAGATCACTTTTAAGGGACCATTTATACTTTTCTTTCAACCCTTTTATTCCCCCTTACTGGGAATGCCACAGCTTGATTCTTTTTAACAACTGAGACATATTTAAGTTGTTACTGGGGAGAAGTTGGGGGAGGAGGGGATTTGGCGGGTGAACATGGAAGGCTCACCAAAAAATAACGGTGCAATTCCTGATCTACAGGGCAGAGGCAGGGGCAGGGTTCATGTACAGTGCAAGACTGTCACTTTAAATTTCAACTGAGTATTCATACTATACAGCTATCTCAAAAACTGTCAAAATAAAAAAAAATTATTTGGCCAAGAATAAGTAAGAAAATATAATAATAATAATAATAATAATATATAATAATAATAATAATAATAATAATCATAATAATAATAATAAAGTTGTGCACTAGCCACAGCATTTTTTAATAAAATTAACTCTACTTCATCTCCGAAGCCCCAAATCTGTGTCTTGGGTGAGGTTTGCCAGCAAAAAAATTGACAAATTGACATTCATCCATTTGAAAGTTTACAAATCCAATGTTCACTTATTCATCAACAACATATAATCTCTCTTACGTTAAGTTGAAAATATATCACTATGCAAATTGTGGCAATCTAGCTGGGCTCCTAGACTTCAACGGCAAACCATCATATAAACGCCTTGTCATTCTACTAATTATTATTTTAATCTTCAATAATCCTTCCCTAAAATTGTAGGAAGCACAGTGATCCTAGAGGAACATCTTAAAGGTCTAATGTTTTAAAGGGACCGTCCCTTGCAATGGGTGCCATAGGGGGGTCGGGGGGAGTCAAATTTCGATCTTGGTCCTGATGTATTGTTACATGTGTCAGGAAACTGCCCTTCAATTGTTTGACTCCATTTCAAACAATTTCATGGTGTAACAAGGGCATAAGCAACATGGGGTGCATGTGCATTTTCGCTTATTTAAGGTAAATAAGCGAAAATAAGCCCTTTACTCTTGTTCCAACCATTCATTCAGCTTATGATAAAGTAATTACATGTTGATATGAGTTCAAATAATGATTTTAACACCATATGTCAATACATGAATGATACATTAGTTTTTATGATGAAATATAAAGAAAATTATTATCATTATTATTTTGCAGTCTGCTTTAGTAGGCCTACATGCAAAACACGTATTGTATTGAGACCTAAGGGTAGTATATCATTGTTCAGCCATTGGTTACCATGTGTTCTTCATATCAAATCTAAGTTTATGTGCAGGTAACCCCTTTCACACCCAATGCTGTTTGTGAAACCTCAGTTATGTTTAGTTATATGCCACAAAACAGGTGTATCACTTCAATATATTCTCTTGACTTTTCTTGCCAAGTCTGTTTAGAAGGGTGGATGAAATATATATGGCATAAAAATCATATCTCCAAACAACATGGAGTTACATACTTCTAACAAAATTGATGTGGCAACACTGCACTAAACTCTTCCTAATGTCTTCTATCACCCCCCCCCCCCGCCCCCAGGGATAGAAGGGTCAATTTGTATTTATGACCATATCTACGTATTTCACAAAAATACCAGTGAATACAGAACACATCCCAATGCTGATAGAATAATATGACTGTCAGGAATAACGTGAATAAAGACTTTTACACAACATTTTACTGGAGACGACACACACATCATAATAATAGTGATTGTACATAATATACAACCTAGTATCTGAACTCCCTTCATAATACAGGGTAATGTTTTAGATCATCTGCATAATCAACTTTCCTTTCATCATTGTACGAGGAAAGAACTGCACCAGTAACATGAACATTTCATTTAACAATCGTCTGACAAACAGACTATAATATTCATGAACAGATCTGGAATATCAAAAGATGTGCACATGTTGAGAAAACTTCAACCAATGCAACTATTTTATCC